TTCGAGAATTTAAAAAAAAAAAGATTTTACTAAAAAAAAAAAGAAAAAAAAAAAACTCCTCTGCACGGTGGGGTTCGAACCCACGTCTATTTTATAATTAATTCCAAAAAAAACCTGCACCTACAACATGCCATACCCCCGAGACATCCGCAGAGCTGAGGCGACGTATGGACTTCGGACCTGACGGCAATTAAATCCTTCTGCCCTTGTTTGCACGGATTACGCAGGACTGTGTTCTAGCCGAAGCATCAGGGGAGAGACTAGACGGCCCCCAGACCATATCTACAGCTAATCCCTTGCACAACCTACAACGCACTAGGTACATTGATTTCAAGTGAAAAAATAATCTAGTCTATCTGGCGCATTGTTTTCGAGGCTATTGTTGTGCTAATTTCTTGGAACCGTGGTCCAATGGAAAAAACTTGGACTTCCAAAACACGAAGTCAAGCTCGGTCGTCGGGGTTGGTACCTGGATGGGTGACCTAAACATTATACCTACTCATTAATTTTATCTTTTTTTCCTTTTTTAATTAAAAAAAAAAAAACCTAGATCGTACTATGTCGTAGTGTAACCAATTTCTGTCTATCCAAATGCTATGCCCATTCTCCGAGCGGCATATCAGTACTCAGTATTCTATTCGTTTTCAAAAGAGAAACTAGCGTATAATAGTATTGAAAAACGCTGGAATATAAGTCGAAAGATAACGGATTCTGACGGGTTTGCTAATGTAAAACACATGAATTACATCAACTGAGAGTCGTATTTTTCGTAACCACAGATCGAGTACAAACTGGTGCCTCCCGTGTTAGGGTTTACCGTCGAGCTAGCGATCCCCATCAAAGGAGAGATATTCAAGGACGGAACCCTAGTTAACCAGGGTGAGTTGTACGTGGGGGGTACACTGAAGTTACGAGGGTTGTCGCTTACTGGAGAACTATACATGGATGGAATATGGACCAAGGCATTTGGGATTCCGTTTTTGGCCATCAAAAATATCAAGTTCGGGTAAGAACTTCAATGGATTTTATTTTCCGCATTAGAAGGATTTTCATATGAGTGGGGAAAGTACGGAACACTTACAGCACGTACATGGTACGACATGGCTTAACATTGAATTGGCTTCCAATTGTCATCCAGCAATTCATCCAATCACAACGCGTAATCATGTTATACAGTACGGCTACGAATGCCATTTCCATTCCCACTCATACAATTTGTAGGAAGCCACAAACCTTATCTTCTCATTATCTCCGCATTATCTATGCACCACAGGGTTACCATAAATCTAATTCAAGGAATACCCGAAGGATTCGAATTCCAGGGTGAGATACAAATCGGCACTGAGTGCTACGGTCCAAATGCCTTTGTCCACAAAGGTCATTGTATCGGTGCGACGGCAATGGTAGGGGTCAGCGTTAATCCACTAAAGGAGTACATTTATGGAGAGTTATCGGCGTTGACCCTTGGAAAGGTTTTTCGACTACTTGGTTCAAAAGTACAGATGCCGAAGATAGTCGATGAAACTGGATTTAGAGATGGGTTAATTGTAAGTATTTTATCAATAAATTCTTGTGTTCTTACAAATAAATGCTCAATAAATATCAGTTACGTTTCAGTTATTTATACATGCTAGGCTGTAAAACTAGAAGTTTGTGGGGCCGTGTAGCCTGATTATACCACATTCTTTACTACTTTCAGTAGGTCTTATGATTTTTACATTCTAATGTTTATAATGAGATTGGTTACTCTTTGTCCAATCATAATGCTCGGATACCATACGGATACGGTACGGCATGTTCGTACCGTAAGTTGTTCATTATCATAGGAAATCTCCCTCGACGAATACACACTGTTACGTCGAGCGGAATGTTTTCCTATTTCCACACACGTCATTCCCTTGAGAACAAGATTCCTTGTTTGTCTTGTATCCATACTCATGTGTCTTCTCACGCGCAACCATTAAACAAAGAATTGATACTATAATGACTTTTAACGTTCAATTCCAATTGTTTTCCAGATCTCAGCCTCCATGTCAAAGCAGGAGATAATATATAGAAATGACAAAAAGACGATTAATCGTGGCCTGTACATCAAGGGGTTGGTCAGCCTTCTGGGTCTCAACCCGTCCATCGAGATTCTCATCTCACCTGAGGTACTTTTCTCTCTCTCTGACAAATATCACTTAATAGAGACGTTTAGCATGAAGGTTACCGCTAACCTCTTCTCTAACCGCTAGGGATCAGGTTCAGAAACACGCCCGCAAACACGGAGAAACACTCGGCATCAATGAAATTCAATATGGCGGCTCTTCTAGCAACAACTTCTTTAAGACGCCATGCACAAGTTTGACGGAAAATGCCTGATGTCGAACTGCGGTTTGAAATTTGCAGTACATGGCAAGAAATTCGTAGTAAAGGTCTCTATTAGCTCACTGCTGACCGATTCACCACCTGCCGCATCCGCCATGGCGGTCGGAACATGTTTCACGAACATATCATTTTATAGAGGTGTTTCATAGCAGTCATGCTTATGCTGGGCAGGATATTCATTTCCCTAGGAGAAGATTTCTATCGTTTTGCTTAAGACCATGATAGCTGTGAAACTCCTCTATTTTCGCCTACTTTTTATATATACCAGTGTTGATGAAATATTTTTCGTTTTCATTATGTTGTTATCGTAGGAAATGTGTGTTGATGCGCAGCTGGAGAGAATCAAGCTTCTTGGGGGAGTTCAAATCGTTAGGTCGTTGAATGACACGAAGAATGGACCAAAGTTTATGGTTAAAGGAACGCGGAAACCGCTCAACCTCCAGGTGGGCAGGGAAACTATCAATACGAATAACGAACTATAATGATCGAATGAACAAATAATCGAGCGAACGAGCGAAAGATTGAAATTTCGAAGGATAGAGCTGATGAATGCATGAAGGAATAAAGAAAACGAACAAAATGTATTGCAAAATGTAGTATTGACACTTTTTTCTACATTTTTATTAATTTTTTCCCTCTGATTTTGATTTTTTTACACATTTGGATTCATCCCTGCCAAAATCCTGAGCATGCGTAGTACGCTTTTCTCAAACAAATCAGTTACAGTTATTTTTTCGATCTGCAAAAATCGCGCTGTAGAAAGTTACGCAAATCTAAGAATTACTGAGTATATGTATATGTTTTAGTAATGGCTCAGTGACAAGATTTAGTTATGAAATAATAAAGGGCGAATATTTGTTGTAGCTCTCCTTTTTATATTTCATTCAGCATTAAAATAAACTTCGTTTATCTATAGAAATATTAAAAGTTGATTTGCCGATTCGTCGAAAGAAACTGGTTGTGATAGAAAATATAAAAAAAGCAACTGTTTGCTAAAAAAACACACACCTGAATTCTTAAAGAATAATTCTTGATTCATCTTTGACTACATGAAAGTCGTTTTTAATCTGTTATTGGTATATAATTTGTCCCAAAGCGATGTTTTCTGTGCATTTCCGAGTAGTTTTGCTTTGAAGTCAAGCGGGGTCCCTGTGTTGTGTACGGACGTACGTACGTATGTCTAAGAATTACAGAGTATATGTATATGTTTTCGTAAGATATAGTAAGATATACAAGATATAGTTATGATGAAATTCTAATTTTATTTTCTCCAAAGATATACGTCCATGGAGCAGTCAAAATATTTGGTGTTGACACAGAACTGTTGCTGAACCTCACAAAGGAACAAATCCAAGCTGAATTCCAGCTAAAGGTTTTCTCTTACTTAAAAACCCAAGTCAAGTTCTCGTCTAGTTATGGCTTATCTTTGAAAGACACATCATTTGAAGCTGTCGTAGTCATAGAATCCAACCTACAAGAAGTGGTACAAAATGCTTCAAAGTTGTTGAGAAAGAAACTTGAATATGCGAGAAAAAGAATTGAAGATGCGAAACTAAGAGTAAAAGAAGCTAAAGAATCGTGTCTAAAGAAAGCAGCACAGGCATGCGGTCTTTGTCAGAGAGTTACACACACTGAAATCCAAGTGGAGTGTCGAAAAGCCATGGATCAGTTTAAGCATTTCATTGGAAGCATTGTAGATAAATTTGGTGAGTTAATAAAACGTCTTGAATTTAGCTCGTTGAGTTTTGCACATTGAAGAAAATCGGAGAACCGGGAGAAAAACCAAGGCCAGGAATTAAAACCGGAGACCCAAGAGGAGGCGCGATATATGTGCAATATTGCTACACCACTATTAATTCTCTGCAATTACAAAATTATTTGATTAAACTTTGTTTGTAATACATAAAAGTATCTAACAATGCTTACATTGGGTGATTTTCTTTTCTTAGGTGGTTTGGTCAAGAAGTATGGAGAAAAAGTCAGGCAAGCCTTTACCACATCCAGAACAAAGCGATACATAGAGCTTCTTCTTAACACCGGAAGAAGAAAAGGTGTCACACTTTATCGAGGAAAAAGGTTTATTTCCAAGTTGATCTGTGATAAGATTCTTGGTAAAGCTATCAAAGCAGCAAAAAGCTTATGTGAAGGTAAGAACATACTTGAAACTACCTACTTCTTTATGCTACGGGTGGGCGCACAAGAAAGAGAGGTTAAATCATGTCTGTGATTTCACAAAGGCCACGGGCTCCTTTTCCAATGAAAAAACTGAATTTTAGAGATTAAGAGGCGGAAGATAAACAGATCCCCCCCTCCCCCGGGAACGGAATCAAAGAACGGGATCAAAGGACGGGAAATAGCTAGTACGCAGCTCTATTCGCATTGCATAGGACAATGCATGCTCGTAACAATTTGGGAATCAATACCGGGTCGCGGTTAGAGAGAAGCGCTAATCTGCTCAGCGTTTATTGGAAGTTTTTGTCTGTAAGCCTTTTTTATTACACCTATTTCAATAAACGTTGTCATCACCAAAGGCCATAGGCAATAGGCGAAATGCGATAGGAGATAGGTCATTTCAAGATCCAAGAATATCTGGAATGACTCGTGTTTCTGCTTGTTATTCTTGTCGAGAACATGGACTTTAGTGTTGAGACTGATTGAATGTTCTTTGTATTCAACGAAACCATTTCTATGTCGGAATGATCTATCGCCTGTCGCCTTTGGCGATGACAACGCTTTTTTGAAACTAGGCGTATACCTTTATAACAAATTAAGTATCTTGATTATCCTCAGGCTCATGTCACGTAGTTGGTCACATCACCAAAGGAATGTGTCACGCACTAGACCTCGCCCAAGGCGCACTTTATCTCATCGACAAATCCGCGTACTGGATCTACCAAGCTCTTCCTCACATCGCTGACAATCTCTTATATATCCACAAGCTTTCCTTCCTCACAAGAATCTCGCCGAGTATCGATTCAAAGATCAATGGGTCAGCGGATGTCACTATATTCAAGGCTAGAACGCAGTTTGATTTTGAGATCAATCTTGAAAATATACTAGAAAGCGCAAAGGAATTGGGATTGAGAGCTCTTGAATACTTTATAATACTTTTTACGGAGAGGTTCTCGGAATCTAGTTATGATAATCCAAGTGACAAGGCTGATTACCAGTTGTCAGGTATGATGTTAGGCGTGTAGCTACGATATAATGCGCGCTCTGATTGGTCCAAAGACACACTCAAAAATTTTGCTTTCTTCCAGGGCACAATCGATATAACGCGAGCTCTGATTTGTCCAAAGACACTCAAAAATCATATATTATAGCACGAACAGAAATATATTGTTTGTGGAGTTTCAGCACGAAGGCGGTAGTATTTTTACCAAACTTTAAATGCATATTATTGTGCATTTGGTTCTTGGTTGCTTTGGAATTGCATTTGCTTCCCTTGGGATGATTAACTGTGCCAGCGCATGCGCATCCGAATGAGTATATTATTTTCAAATTTAAAAAGGGAATACAATTTATGTCAAAAGTTAAAAAAAAGTCATCTTTGTTTAATGGGAATCACCAAACTAGTATTTGAATATTGTCATGCCCAAAAGCACTTCTTTTTTTCTTTTGCAGTCAAGTTTTTTTAGACTGCGAGCAGACCCTCGATCTATTTCCCTTGGTCACTGTCCGTCTGTCTGTCCGTTTCGATTGGCTGAGGAAGATTGGTTACGAGTCAAAAGCCCCCACCTTCCTCCTGCTCCCTCCGCCATGGACGTTTGACTTGTAACCAATCTTCCTCGGCCAATCGACACGGACAGACAGACGGACAATGACCAAGGGAAATAGAGGGACTGCTCGCATGCTAGATTTTAAAAAAAAATTCTTTGAATTAATGCGCAATTCTGAAGAAATGCCAACACAACACCCCCATACCTAGCACACACTTCAAGTAGCAATAAATAGGCAATGATTGGAGCTCCATGATATATTGTATTTCAGGTGAAATGAGAATTAAAAGCATGAACAGCGAGAAGTGTCTATCAGTAGATAGCGATGGAAACATTTCTCTAGAGCTATGTTCCAAGACATCCTCCTCCTTGGACTGGGCGTACACACTGACTGGATCTATTATGGTACAGAAAATCCATTATCATCAGCATTTTTTTCCATTTCTAGTTTCTTGCTGGTGAATAAAGCGGGCTTCCTGTGGTACAGTAGCCATTATCGCGGGCGTACGATTCAAACGAAGCGAAACAAATGATTTTTGGAAAATCAAAAGTTCTTAAATGGCCCCTTGTGATAAAATATGGAATTCTTTACTGGAATATTTTACTTTAAATAGGTTAAAACCTTCATAAAAAAAAAAAAAAACAAAAAAAAAAAACTAACTTATGTTTTCTCTCTCTAAAGAATGTTCATACAGGGACCTGTATAACGTTTGTTAAACGCCAGACGGCCTTGGAGATGAGAGAATGCAGGATTGATTCAGATCAGCAGAAATTTGCTTGTGACAAATACAGACTGATGTCCAAGAACAAAGACGTCTGTCTGACTGAAAAAGGTATAAGAGATAGGGGATAAATTGATGGATGCGTGGATAGATTGGTGCGTGAGTGGGTTTGGTGGTAGGTGGGTAAGAGGGAGATGGAGAGAGAAGGAGAGAGGAAGGGAGGGAGGGAGGGAGGAAAGTGGGAGGGAGAGAGGGAGGGAGAGAGGGAGGAAGGGATGAATAGTTGGATGGGTGAGTGAAAGGATGGAGGGAAGAAGGGAGAGAGAGAAAGAGGGAGGGAGGGAAGGAGGGATGGTGGACGGAGTGATGGACCGACTTAGTTGACGGATGCATAAAAAAAGTTATATTATCGAATTTAAAGTTTTGAACTTCAACATTAAATACTATTATACTAAAATATATTTCAAATGATTATTCAGAAAATAAAGTTCTCCTTGAGTCTTGTGATGACAGCGACCTGAAGGACAAGCAGCAGTGGAAGCTTAGTGATGACACCAGAGACATTGCTGTGTGCGAGAAATATGTGACTGGTGAGAAAAAAAAATCAATTGGTTTTTATAGGAGATGATTGCCTTAATATTTGACAAATAAAAGGGTTTTACGTTACATGATTTGGCTTATGAGTCCATGAACAATTTCCGTGCTTTAAAAGTCAACAAAGGAAATGTTGTACCAAAGCAAGACCATAATGCACCAAGTCTTATTTGAATTCCCTTTCCAATGACAACCGCAGTGTTTTAGGTGTTGATCAACTTTTCCTCCGTTTCAATATGCTGAATAATGTTTCTCCACAGATATTGCTTTTAAGAAGCCAGCGCAACAGTCCAGCGTAAGTTCGATTAAATCCAAGGAAACCGAAGAAGACATTCGTCTTGAAGCATCGTTTGCCGTGGATGGAGACATGTCGTCCAGATTGGAACAAGGATCTTGTATACTGACTGATGAAGAGAAAGACCCGTGGTGGATGGTAGACCTAGGAAGGGAATATATAGTAACTGATGTCAGCATAGTGGGAGAATCAGGTAAATCATTGAGATCGAGGCATAAAGGTCTCCAGGAATATATAGCATACGTCCATATATAATTGCCATGAGAGGGCGTTCAGTCGATCCCCACTAATCTTTACAATTCATCCCTCCCTCTCCTGAAAACCCATGATCTTTACTAGTAATCTGCCAATGGAAAAAGTGGTCAATGGCGACCCTAGAAACCCTTGTTACGCACCACCCTTATGTGAATAGCACTTATCAAGTCGATCATTCTGTTTTACGTCCCTAGACTACAGCACTCTCACATTAGAATCCATTGAAACACGTGTCGGTAAGATAAAAGAAAAGTTCTGGGAAAACCCCATGTGTAGTGATAGACTGAKAGAGATCCAAAATGGCGAGGTTTGGACGTCACAATGTTGGCCTTACATCGCTGGGCGGTACGTGTCAGTACAGAAGATAGGTATTGGAAAATTATCGATGTGCGAAGTGGCTGTGTTTGCAAGACTTGGTGAGTACATGCGATCAGTAGTCTCCTACGCAGTCAAGCTACTTAGGGAGTGAGCGTTGCGTGAAGAAACTAATACCGGCTACGTATAGAGCGTTTTCACTCACGTGACAAGTCAGCCATATTGGGGTACCAAAACAATAGAAACTTTCTACACATTTTTTGCATACAAATAGAGTTCAATTCCTTGAGGATAGAAAATTTATTGTTTTGGTACACCAACATGGCCGCTGTGACGTCACGTGACTAGACTCAGTCAGTTATCGATCCCTGGAACAAACCCTGTTCCTAAATTTCCAAGATGGCGGTCATGAGGTCACGCGTGTTTCACAGACACCTTGTCTCACCACTTAATGAATCTCCCGTTTTCCCTTCACATTTGTTGGTCTATAGATAAGCAAGGTAAATGCCGAGATGAAGTCAAAAGAAAAAGAACAGAGATAGCGCTGTACAGACCATTCTTCATCGACCCTGTAACAAACATGGCTAAGGATTTCGTCCCAGAAAATACGGACCAGGTTGAACGCTGAAACCATTTCCTGGATTTTCTTCCTTGGTACTATAGGTCCGCCAAATCATAATTATTAGATAATTTTATTTGTTAATGATGTTTATCGAAATATAACGTGAATATATTAGATTTCCKGCCCCTAGTTAGCCACCTATTTCCCCCCGTTAATGAATCAGAAATCATTAAAAATATATATATATCGCGAATGAGCAGGGTATGTAGAAAGAAATTCATTTCCCGCTTAAAGCCAATTGGGTTCCACGGTAGAAAACACGCGCTATGTTGAGCAATTTCTATACGTTTTTTACCCGCGCGTAAATTATATTCAATAAGGTCTAAGTTTTCTCACTCAAATTCCAATTATTTATTCTGAATTCTTAGAACTGTGTTCGCAAAAGAAAATATTCGTTTCGTTTTGGATCAATTCACTTCAGATAAAATCCCTGAAAGGTATCTTAACACCAAGACCTGTTCCCCCATTACCAAGGTATTTATTTTCTAATCAAATAACCTTTTCTTAGTCACGCGCAGTCCAAGATATGAAACTATACTAAAGAAGTCTGCTTTCTTTGGCCTCCAATTAAAATTTCAACTGTCTGAGTTTAGTATGTTTCGATTGACGGAAGTAAGAAAAAAAAAAACAAAAAACGCAGACGTCTTGGACTGTGTCGAGGCGTAAATATGAAAATAGGTGTAACTGATAAGGGGATTTGAGTTTTTTTTACGAATACCTGCATCTATTTCACGGTAGAACTCACTTCATAGCTTCAAGGTTATCCAATCCGATAGCGATATATAATAGCGCAGCGCAGCCGTGACGTCATAAAAACGAAGACAAAGGCGATATTCGGACAAACAAACTTACAAGTTTACTTTCAGCAGATAATTTTCACAGCCGATCGTAGTTGATCTTAGTTTACATGGGTTATTATTGTAACTTTAAGTAAAAATAATAAAATCGGTTCGTATAATCCTCGTAGCGGTTAAACAGAGTGCAATGTTTGTCCGAATCTTTAAGCTATTTTATATTATATTCGCTCAAGTATCTGGTTACCAGTGGACTATTATTGAAATTTTCGCCAACTCAAATTCTGAGCTATGTATTGCATTTAACGATATAAAAATGTAGTATAGTTTCTGGAGCATCAACCAAGCCATTATTCGCTCAAATATATGCCTACTTTTAGAAATACTCGTAAGTATTTTTTCGACCTCAAATGTCAAATAAGCATCGTAAAATCTAATAATCTTAAATCAGGATATCTTGACACCTGAGAAGGTGATCTATTGAAGGGTCTACCAAAAAAAAAAAAAAAAAAAAAAAATTCAAAGTTTTGCACCAGTTGACGCAAAGTTATTTTCTATATAACGTACTAGATATTAGTACTATGAAAGGGCTTCCCCGATTTTCCACTAATGTGATTGGATATTCTGGATTTTAATTGACGCATTTTCGATTGGTAGGTGGAATGGGGTTGGGTGGGGATTCGATAACAATGTTATGGCCGTGCTTTCATTGGATAAAAAACGTGTTTGAAATATAATACGTCCCTTAATGGAATATCATATAGATGTAATAGATTCTGGTTGCAGTAACAGTAGAAATAGGAATATATGATAACAAGATCATTTAAAATATTAATCATTACAAAAACTAAGTAAAAAAAATTCCACAGTACGTCTCTACTTTTAGCTGTCCTTTGTCAAGGTAAGTAACCTAGTAGTTGCTTTGATTTCATAATTCGATTTTTGAGTTCTAATTTGTTTAGAGAAAAAGTGTACTTGGTTTATCAATGATAAAGGAAACAAAAGAGAAATATTTAAAACAAGAGAGAGAGAGAAAGTGAGAGAGAGAGAGAGAGAGAGAGAGAGAGAGAGAGAGAGAGAGAGAGCTAGATAAATGGGCACTTTTGTAACC